TCTGTATCTCTCTCTCTCTGTATCTCTGTGTCTCAAATGAATAAATAAAATCTTAAAAAAAAAAAAAAAAGAAGTTGCTGAGTAGAGGAAAAAGTTTTTCTTTTACACACAACTACAACACACACGGGCACGTGTGTACAAGTGTATGCATGTGTATATATACACAAAAATACACACATATAGATATGTAAAATATACAATAGCACCTCCCTGTGTCGTCTGTCACTAAGTCACCTCTATAAATTAAAATCTTTTAAGTACAAATTAATAGAGGGGGAATGCTGTGGGAATTTAAACGAGTGGAGCATGAATAGGCCCGAACAGTCCTGCTTGGTCAGTGCTCAGGGCATCTGTGCTGATGATTATGAACTGCTTTTTAACATGACTCATGTTTAATTTTTCTTATTTTCTTCAAAGAAAGAATCTTGCATCACTCTGGTAAATGGGAAACCTAGAGTCACTTCCTTTGGTGGCAGGTCACCACGAAAACTCAGCAATGAAATCAAAATGATGTTAAGTCCCAGTGACCTCATGCTCCCTACTCAGGGCTATAAACTCAAGGCTACTCCGTTTTAAAGGGAAAAGTACCAACAATTGGAGGGTGGGGGGAATGAAGAAAGTATATTAAGATTCAGCACTAAATCCAGACTTGCCATCAAAAACAATCAGAAGGCAGGAAACGATTATGTCAGAGTGTCTCTCAATGTCCGTTGATGAAGTATTCCTACACTCTCTGAAACAAGGTTTCTCAATCTGGCATAATTACTTGGGTTCATGGGCATGATTATTTAGGTCAAGATAATTCTTTGTTGGGAAGACAGGGAGGAAACTGTCCTGGGCATTGTAAGGATGTGTTGGCAGCATTCCAGGTCTCCACCCACTAGGTGCCTGTCCCACCTCCATCCCACCTGTGACAACCAAAAATCTCTCCACACACTGACCAGTGTCTCCGGGGACGACACCATCGCTGGATGAGAACCACTGGCATAGAGAGTTATAACCAGGATGATGAGACAAGTGAGGGGGTGGGGGAGGGGCCTCCATGAGATCTGCGGGTCAGGACACAGCTGGCGAGGTAGTGATTATGCACAGAAGGGGTGACCGTGTGAGAGGCTGAAATGCCCAAGAACACTCCCCAGGCAGACACAACAGCAAGCAGAGGCCCGAGGCAGGGCTGCGCGTGGGGAAATCACTAGAAGCCCAGCACAGCCAGAGCACAGTGAGCTCAGGGAAAGCACTGAAGGTGACGGATGAGGTCAGCAGGAAAAGAGAGTAGACTTTTTATTTTGAAACACTCTGTTATGAAATATTTAATCTAGCCAACTTTTCTAATTTTGCTTTTTCTCTTCTCACTGACAGACATAATTCCAGTTCTCTAAGAACAGGCATGTCTCATCCTAAGCTCTGGATTTATAGCCCTCCTTTCCCTCAAATTGAATGGCATCGTGGTCATTCTCCTCAAGCAGGGAAACATCTAAGCTGGTGTTTCTCAACCGTGGCACTCTGGATGCTGCAGGCGGGATAATCCTTCATTGAGGACGGCGGTCTTGTCCATCGAAGGATGTTTACGGCATCTTTGGACTCTAACCACTAGATGCCAGGACCACCTACACCCAAGGCCAGACAACCCAAAGTGGCTGCAAACACTGCCAAATGTCTCCTGGGGGTACAAATCCCAACTGCTGAGAAGTATTACTCTACCCTCTCTCTTGTACTGGCAGAGGATGTTGGCCCTTGGAACAAGTGATAATGTCAGAGGCACACAGACACAAAGGAGCCCCATAACCGAGATCATGTCGTTTGGGACAATACCTGTTGGCACTGAAGGCAAAGGCCTCCCGGGGGCCTGCCTGACTCACTCTCTTCTTGGAGAACATCCCATCACTCACAGCCCTGCTGAGGACACTTGAGCCAATCAGGCTCACGCAGTCAGCTCCCTCTCTGGAATGTGAAATAAGAACCTCGGATGGAGGCCAGTCTGCGCTGGGCACTGGGTGAGAGGTCCAGAGAAGTACTGGCTCGGGTGGCCATTCCTGCCCCAAGGACACCCCACACAGCCCAGCAGCACACAGAGAAAGAGGAACAACATAAACACGCAAAGACGCGGAGACCAGGAATCTGGGGGCCAGAGAGAGCAGGGCCAGGTGGCCAGTCCTGTCACAACTTGATGAGGCAGAAAAAAACCTTTCTGCATACAGTGACATGAGCAGAGAGAGCCAGAGAGAGAAGCCAGGACAAGAGACCAGAAGCCAGGGTATAATCGTGGTGGTTGCCAGTTCCTCTGTCAGTCCCTCACAGGACCCAGCTGGAAACCCTCCCTCTGGGTCTGCAGAACAGCCCCCTTTCCTTCCATTACTTTCCAGGAGCCAAAGAGGAACTGTTTCTTGCCCAAACAGACACAGGAGAGCAGGCCCAAAGAGATGAGTCTAGAAAATGACTGAAGCTGCAGGCGGGCGGGGGGTGGGGGGGCTCCAGAGGCCTTCTTGACCAGCCAGGCCTGGAGCCAGAGGGTGCTCTGACAAGAAGGTGGCAGGTCCCCCCATGGTGGAGTGGGGAGGACTCACCCAGAGACACCAGAAGGCCACAGTTTTCCAGCATCACCTCCTGGTACAGGGTCCTCTGGGCCGGGTCCAGCTGCCCCCACTCCTCCTGGGTAAAAGTCACGGCCACATCATCGAAGGTCACAGATATCTGGAAAGTCAAACAGAGGTAGCAGCGTTGGCCTTGAGGTTGTTGGATGTGATCAGAGCTCATCCCTACATCCCTGGTAAAGATGCAGAGTGATCACGGCTCGAATCACCAAGTACCTCCTGAGGGCCAAGCTCTGTGCTGGGCTCAAGGGGCAGGTGGGCAATGCTTCGGATGCACTACGGTAGCGTAAGGGAGAAGCTTCCTCCGTGGGAGCCACCGCAAGGTCACACAGGACGATGGAAATGACGCGAGGACTGGGAGATGCAGACAGCAAGGGCTCTAGGACGTCGGAGGAATGAGTGAGTATGATAATACCAGTATCAGTAACAACAGCAGTACCTGAGCCTCACTGGTCCTGCTAGCTGCCTGCCCCATGCTGAGGGCTTCACATCCTGGTGAGAGGGACTGTAAGTCCCCAGTTCTTAAGTCAGTCTCCTGTGGCTTGCATCCAAACTCTTGAAACCCGACACTTGCCAGCTGTGTTACCTTGAAGACATCACTTCATTTCTCTGAGCCTCGGGTTCTGGATCAATACAATAATAGTTCCCACTTCACCAGTAACAGTTGTGCGATTTAAACAGAAATTACTCAGTGCTCAGTGTGCTTTGGGATTTTCACTGTTTCTTCCACAGCCCATGACATCTCATCACCTTCATGGCACAGTCAGCGAAAGGCTATGGGAGCTCCACCAATTCATGCAAAGTCTTGCATTTTACAAACCAGAAGCGAGATTTTAAGACAGATTACTCTAACACAGTGTTGAAAAGAGTAAACTGGACATTCCTCCATAATCAGAGTAACTACAAGTAAGGAGGCTATGAAGCATTTACCCCAGTTTTTGCTGTTAAATACATTTCCATCCACCCGAACAGGGACCGAGGGGCAGTGCCCTCATCACTAACCACACAGGAAAGGCACACTGATGGGGTGGCACCTCCTTGGGTAAATGGCAGGGCCCGGATTTGTTCCCCATGGGTCTCCCAGGCGAGGGGGAGATGCCACAAGGAACCATACGCCCCTTTTTCCTTCCTGAGCTCTGACAACCTTCATCCCTGAGGCCAGGATACTTCAGGACCAGGGAGCGCAAACAGCTACAGGTAACACAGGCACTGGCCACCAAGTGTCTGGCTGAGGGCTGGTGGCGCATCCTGCAAACGACCACAGGATCCCGCCCTCCAAAGGCACTCAGCAGCCGGGAGGAACCACAGCAACCTCACAGGCCCTCGTGGGCCTCCCTAAACCACCAACGCACTTTGCTTTTGTCCATGCACCTGTCTGAAAAGCTCTCCCGCCTCCGCCCGGTGCCCAAGGTCACCTGTTGGGAGGAGGACAGGTGGGGCAGCGCGGACCAACCCAGGGCATGGCGGGGGGTGGGGCTCGCTGTAAGAACGACGGGGGTCCCGGCGGAAGCATCATTCATTCTTTCTACACCTTGCGGAAGTCAGAGACCAAACACCTTGCGGGACTGGGGGTCAACTAGGTGGCGCGCCAGGCCGGACGCCCAAACAACCGCAGAGACACGCCCAGCGGACGTCGGAGCGGCCGGCCCTGCCGGGCCCGTGTGCTCCCTCGCAGAGAAGCAGCAATCCCCAAACCCACGTCCACTGACCTGGGCCTGGCCGGTCGGCGGCGCCGCCATCACGGGGCCCCGCGGGTGAGCAAGGCGGGGAGCGGCGGGCACCGCGCAGCCCGCTGGCCACACCTCTGCTCTGCGCGCCCCGACGACCTCGGCGGACAGCGGCAGGCCGGCCGCAGCGTCCCCCGAGTAAAAGGCACACGCCTCGGGGCGCCGCCCTTGGCGACTGCGGGGATGAGGGCGGCCGCAGAGGCCGCGGCTCAGCGGGCGGCCGGGGGGGCACACCCGCTGCAGGGGGTCACGGCCCCTACAAAACGCGAACGTGAGTTCTTTCCTCCCTCCCGGCTCGTTCCCCACCAAAGGGCCAAGGTGCGGCGCCGGCCCAGCCCTCAGCAAGTCCCCGCCGTCCCAGGGCGAACGGTAGCGGCTAATGGCGACGGCAGGGAAACACCCGGAAGTCCCGCCCCCGCACGTAGCCCAGGGAACGCCCCTTTCCGGGGCTGTCCGTGGCCAGCGCCGCCCCCGATGCCTTCTGGGTACTGTGGTTTCCCGCCTCGGTGTCCAACCGCGCGAGGCGGGGCTTCGGCAGGAGTCCTCCTCCGAGAGGAGGGAGCACAAGCGACCGAGCAACTCCTCTGCTTCTTTGCGATTCGAGAGGAGCAAGGGACAGGAGCGAGAGCCTTCCTTCTGTACCTGGGGAAACTGAGGCTCGGGAGGCAGGGACAGTCGTCAGCGTGGCGGCATATGCCAAGGCACAGAACTCGCCCTTGACTCGAGGCTGGCCTGTTGACTTCCCCTTTTTGGTACCACCTCCCCCGAGCCTCTTCTCTGGGAGCAGACAAAAAAGTAGTTTAAAAACCGGCACCTAGGGCGCCTGGGTGGCTCAGTTGGTTAAGCGACTGCCTTCGGCTCAGGTCATGATCCTGGAGTCCCGGGATCGAGTC